CGTGTTGGGGGAAAGGAAGCATTCTAATCCATGGGCTTATAGTGAGCCCATGCCTCTGGATGGGGAGCCACACAAGTGTTTTTTGTTTTTTTTCACTAGCCTCAGGTTGGACAGGATGGCTAGGGTGGCCTGGAGTTAGGTATTTCACCCAAGTCAGTTAGGTCCTGCTAATGCCCCTGCTTCTTAGGCTCTAGTTAACTAGTTTCCCCTGAGAGCAGGCCTTTGTAAGAACAGAGTGCTCTGGAGTATTTCAGAATGGTTTCTTTTCCACTCTGTCAGAAGTACAAAGAGATCTTTCTCTGATACTTACAGGAAGAACCTGCTCGAGCTCTGGGAGGTACATCTCAAAAAATTATGGGGGGGCCCCCTTATGATTTATGACTGTGTCCCCCTGAAGTTTTTAACTCCCAGACTTCTCTATAGTTGAGGTTTTCCTGCTGTGGCACTGGTTCCTGGGCTAGTGAGGCTCTGCTCCAGGAAGCTGTGACTTCTTTGTTCGCCTGCCTCTCTGGTTTTGGGGGCAGTGGTTTGTCCTTTGTCTTCTCCTCTCTTACGGCTCTAGGAGGGGTTGCTTATTTTTCAGTCTGTTCTGCTTTATACTTGCTGGGACAGAGTGGTGACTTCTAAGCTGCCTAAATGAAATGGAAACTGGAAGTCCTCTCCCTGCCTTTACTCCTCACTGCATATTGAGTGCTAACCTAAGTTTTTTCCCCTTGCCTAGGACCATTGCTTGGATCCCCAGTCCAAGATGTGGCAGTTGCTGTACATTCACTGATAATTCATCCTGGTACCTCCACAACTATGATTTCTGCCTGTGTCTCCAGATGCATACAAAAGGTAGAGAATATCCTGTAGTTCTCCTTTTTGCTTTAGGGTGACTGTCCTGATAGCAGTGTGCCATTGCTCCACAGACATCTGTGCTTTGCAGTGCCTCACACTTGTATTGATGCCGTCTGCGCCTTAGAGTCAGCAAGTTTTTACCCCGGACAGTCTCTGATTTCTTAATCACCGGGGTTATATCTGTAAGAGGACCTAGCAAGTTACTGCTTAATACAGACTGCCGGGAAATATTCTCTGATTTTAGCAAAGAGGCAGGTTTCCTTAACTGGCATTTTTGGTTTCCCCATCCCAGATACACAGCTGTTAGAGGTGAGCTTTGTAGTTTAATTAGGGGACAGTTTGGGGGTATCCTGGCCCAAGATGGACTATAAAGGACATTGAAGATGTAATATTAGTTTCAGTTTTGAGTTCATGTTTATTTGAATAAGATTACCGTAATCAAAGATCGTTGAAATCAGATTAAGTCACAGGGAGCCTGGTTGGCTCAGTCTGGTAAGGGTCCTACTCTTGATTTTGGCTCAGGTCACGATCTCAGGGTCATGAGATTAAGCCCCTCCCGCACTGGGCTACTGGCTGAGCATGGAAACTGCTTCTTAAGATTCTCTCTCCCCCTCTATCTGAACTTCACCTGCTTATGCTCTCTCAAAAAAAAAAAAAAAAAATCAGGTGAGACTAACTGATAATCCACATAAGCACCTAACTTTATCAAAGCATCAAGCAGTCTAGTCTTGGAACAGTTACTTACCTCCCATTGTTTCCTTGAGTGTCTTGCCTCAGTAATCTACCAGAGCTGACTTAACTCACAGGATCTTAGTGTGCCAAATGTTGATTCCATGCATTCTTCTCAGCATGGGACTACTACAGTTTTATAAGTGACTGATTTGCAGTAAAACACTTGCTTTTAAAAGCCATTTTCTGAAATTTTGGACTGTGTCTGAAACTTGATTTTCTGTGGTCTTAACTGAATCTAGAATTATAAAGTTAAATGTGAATACCCTAAGTCGCTGACTTAAGAAGGTACAACTTAATGGTCCTTTCATATGATTTCATTTAATTTTCATTAAAAAAAATCTATACATTCAAAAAGTATTATTTAAATATTGTTTGCTGGGGTGCCTGGGTGGGTCAGTTGGTTTAGTGGCTGACTTCAGCTCAGGTCATGATCTCATGGTTCGTGAGTTGAAGCCCCACATTGGGCTCTGTGCTAACAGCTCGGAGCATGGAACCTGTTTCCGATTCTGTATCTCCCTCTCTTCTGCCCTCCCCTGCTCATGCTCTGTCTAGCTCTCAAAAATAAAAAATTTTTTTATATAGTTTGCCTAAGCATATAGTTAGAAGTATTATCTGGTAAGTTAATGATGCCTCCTGTATTTATTGAGCCGCCTTTGTTGAGCTTACTGTGCAGTGTGATGGACATAAATGGAATATGGATGTTTGTCTTCACCTAAAGGAGCTTATGATTTTACAAGGTAATTAAATATGGTCAAACAGCCAAAATATTAGAGCAGACTGGGGGTAATAAAAATGGAGAAGTGGGGAATTAGTATTATTGGAAGGAATATCTGAGCTGTGGATTTTGGTAGTTGGACACAGGGGCATTCCAGACACGGGAAGATTGAAGTCCCTTTAGCTGTACTCTCAGATGAAGGCAGAGTAGTAGTGAAAGACAGTGTTAGAAAATGGAATCAGACTATAGAGAAACCTTTAAAAACTACCCTGAGGAGTTTGAGGTTTGTTTTGAGAACAGTGGTGAAAAATTTAAAGTTTTTGAGGAGGGCATTATAATCACTGGAATACAGGAGGAACTAGAAGTAGGCAACACATAATCCAGGACAGGGAATGGACTGGGTCTGAATTAGGATACTGACAATAGGAACAGAAATCTTAAAGCTACTTGGGGAAACTGAAGTTAGAGATGCATGTCCAGGTGAAATGAATATTATCATGTCCTCAACAGAAATAGGAAAGAGCACACAAGAATGTTTGCAAAAGGAAATGATAAGGTTATCTTGGATTGCTGTGGGGTATTTAGAAACTGTCCCAGAGCGGGGGGGGGGGGCAGGCAGCGGGTACAAGGCTCAAGCACGTAGAGACTGTAGTCTGTATCCTCAATCCAAAGCATTCAATTCTTTGCTTGCTTATAGTGTTTTCATTTTTACCTTCTCCCACTCTGTTATTTTGTTCTGAAAGACATTATGTGAAGTGGTACAAAGCTCTTGGTAAGAATTGCAAAAAGAGAGGTGTGCTCTATGTTTTGAAATTTTGATGATAATGGGCATATACTCTTGGTTTTACTTCTCTGGCCATTTTTCATGATTGTGCGGGTAAAGGGCAGGAGAGGATGGGAAGGTGGTGACGTATCAGGAACAAAAGAATTCGAGGCCCAGAACCCTTACTTGACAATACAGGCAGTGTTAATGCCCCCTCTAAGGCCTTAAGTAATAATGAGAATCGGTGGTGGTGGAACAGCGAACAGAGTGATGACCCACTGCACCTGGGTAAAGGTGAGGGCACATTCCAGAGCCCCCTCGTGCAAAGTTTCCGCTGTAGATCTCTGTTACATCCCACCTAGTAACGAGAGGCTTAGACTAAATCAGACTTTTATTACTTGTGAATTCTGGCAGGCTCTAGCAGTAGGATAGCTTTTTGATTATTTTTTGAGGTTTATTTATTTTTGAGAGAGAATCCCACGCAGGCCCTGTGCTGTCAGTGGAGCCCGCCCCCACCAACCACGAGATCATGACCTGAGGGGAAAACCAAGACCCAGACACTTAACAGGCTGAGGCAGCCCAGTAGGATAGCGTTTTAAATCTGACCCACCGGTACTTACAGTGCTTGCATTTGCCATACCAGTTTGTCTGACGTAGTGATACTGTGAAAGACTGGGACCCCAATATATCTTCTGTTGCTGCTACTTCCTCCGTTCTCTTCCAGTACTTGCCCTGTGTGTTGTATTGGCTTCTGTTCGGTTTCCGTTTTACTTATGTGCTTATTCTTCTTGCCTTTTGTTGAATGTGTTTCTGTTAGCCTTACTGTAGTACATTTCTGGATTAGTCCTGCTATGGACTGTAACTGTAATAGGCATCAGGAACTAAACACGTGGTTTCAACAAATAAGATGTAAGTCTTTGACTGAAAGGGGAAAACCATTTTTTTCTTTGCACTGTCTCTGGCCACGTGTTCTTAGATGCTCTGTGTAATTAAGCTTTATTAAGCAGCCCCTTGCCATGTACCCGATAGTTTATAAAAAGAGCTCCAGGCTTACAAGGATGGGCAGAATTTACGAATCTTTTTTAACAGAAATTTGATTTCCAATAAGGAAAGGGGAGTTAACATTCTTGAATTCCTTTAGGCTCTGAAGAAGGCTGATAAGCAAGTTTTAGAGCCCCTGATGAAGCTCGAGGTTACAGTCACTAAAGATTACCTCAGCCTTGTCCTGGCAGATCTGGCACAAAGAAGAGGGACCATTCAGGAAATCCAGACTCGTCAGGAAAACAAAATTATTACTGGATTTGTTCCCCTAGCAGAAATTATGGTAGGTACTTAGTTACTGAAAAGAATACTGGGGATATTAATGCTGAACAAAAGTAGACAATCAGGATTTTGAACTGTTAGAGCGTTTGGATTTAAACTGTTACCGTGATCTAAGGGATTACCACAGGTAGGTGGGGTCATTACCATTCTCCACGCTTCTCTTCCTAAATGCTGAGACTAAGGAATACTTGTGAAACGTACCCACATTATTTACTTAACCTCCACAATATTTGTCTAGTATTTCCTGACAAAATGGTTCAATGAGAACTCACTTGAGTCTCATTTTCACCTTTCCCGATTATGATGAAAAGATTAGCAGCAGGAAGAGATACTTGAGGCTTAAATTTGACAACTGTCTTCAATTATTTTGACTAGGGTTATTCAACTGTGCTTCGAACGCTAACATCAGGCTCAGCTACTTTTGCCTTAGAACTATCTAATTATGAAGCCATGAATCCTCAAGACCAAACTGTACTGCTCGGCCGGCGAAGTGGCTTGACCCAAGTACTTTGAGACTCCGGAGCCCCTATCAACTGCAGTTTCAGTAAGAAGAATTTTTATTGCTTTACTCAACTTACTAAACTGACAGTGGTACTGGAGTTGCCCATTCTATAATCAGATAGAGGCCCCATTTTAAAAAAGATACATCTTTTATTGAAAACAGTGCACCAAATCTTAATTTCCATGATTTCAAAATCAAGTTGATTGTAGTACAGATTGCTGTAGGTTTTGTCCCCTCCTCTTTTCTTCTTTGTTTAGGCTCATTTTTATGTTTTGTATTCATAGTCACAATATCCAGTAAAAAGAGGTTCTGCAGATATTCCCCGTCTATAGAACAAAGTATGAATTAGGTTTTAGATTGATATAATGCATCTTAAGAATAAACTAAGTTCTTTGAGAGCCTGAGTGGGGGAGGGGCAAAGGGAGTCCGAGGATCTGAAGCTGGCTTTGTGCTGACAGCAGAGAGCCGAGTGTTGGGCTCGAATTCATGCACCGTGAGACTGTGAAGTCGGTGTACTTAACCAACTGAGCCACCCAGGTGCCTCTTAAAGAAAAAGTTCAAATAGTCTTTTCTCCTTTTGGGCATAATTCTGTTTCGTACAAAAATCAATTCCCAGTTTCTAAGTAAATCACTACTTGTTAGGTGACATACAGTTCTTTTTAAAGTTAATCATCCTGGACTTGGTAATGTCCTAACTTTCAAAGTGCCGTACCTGACCATTCTGCAGCGGTGAACGGTCAGTCTGTTGTAGGCATTCCCTACACTGGTGATGTCTTCTGGACTCCAGAGTCTTTCACCAACGGCACTTGCCCGAGGCCTGTAAGTTAAATCACATGTCCCCCAAAGCAGTTTAAATTTATGTATTCTGAAATTTCTAGTACTTCCCTACTTGGATGGAGAAGGAAAAATAAGGCACTTTAATTCAAATTTATCACTTAAAATTCCATACCATAATCTTGGAGTAAGGTTAGTTGCATCCACAAATTCTCCCCACAGACAAGCTTCTCCACCAATGACAAGTTTTTTCTGTTCTTGAGAACCTACATTAAAATCATTGAATGGCTGTAAATGAAATAGTTGCAGCTCCAACCTCTGAAAGAGGCAATTACTGGTCCCCTGGTCAGTTCATGGTTTTGGCACAGAAAGAGGTAGCAAACTTAATTCCCACAATGCTTGTTCGCGTATTTCTACAAATTGGTATCTTTAATACTAGCACACTGCTTTATTTTGGTTTTGTGCAAGCTGCTTTGGGTTCAGGAACCATGGTTCAGGAACCATTATTCCCTTGGTTGCCTAACAAGAGTGTGCCAGGAATGCAAGTTGGAATACTAATAACTACTGCTCACTCCTGCCTTCAATATCTACCTCGTGGTACTAAAAAAAGACTAAGTACCCAATTGATATTACATTATGTCAATTCCTAACAGACTTACATACTGATTCAAAACATTTTTTTTTAACACTACCATTCTTTTTCTTCAAGGAAATTTTAAAAACTGGACAAAGTAGAAGTGTTCTTAAGGAAGGGGGTCTGAGAGCCTAAAGCTCCACCCCTCTATTCGTCCTACCACCCCCTTCCTAAGTATACCTAAGACTACACAGCCTGAAATACAGGGAACTAGACTACAGCCTTCCTTAACAATTGGAAAGGCCAGTCAGTCAAAAGCAGAGATACAAGGTTAATGCGGACAAGCATCTTTAAAATGTAAGGTAACAATGCTCGGCAGTGGAAACGAAGATAAAGGAACCTACTTTTGAAGTTATTTTATTCAGGAAAGGATATGGTTTCTTTCACAAATTTTAAGATGTATTGGGGGCCTTTTTTTTTTTCAAGTAAACAATATCAGGACCAAACATAAAAGGGAGGATAGTGAGTAGGTAATATCTGGATGAAAATTTCCTGGTAGAAGATTAAGGGAAGAAAACTAACAACCCAAGGTAATGATAAGTGCTTCACTCACCATCAAAATGAAGAGGGTCCACTTTATAGTAATTTCTCCAGTCTTGTCCATAACTAATCCAATCTAAGTACCAAGGAGCAGAAAGGATCACAGGGAAGCCAGCTGCTGTGACTTCACGTAGTTCCTCACTATATACTTGATTTTTCCACACTTGAACAATTGTACCTGGCAGAAGCTATTAAAGTTACAAGCAATATGTATTGATCAGGTCCAACAATTACAGATGAAATTAAAAGTCCCAGCCCATGTTGCTAGGAAAATAACTTTCTAAGCTTCTGGAAAAACATAATACCAAACGTTACTGGCAATAGGGCCTTAAAATTAGAAGTTTCATCAGTCTTGGGGCACCTGGGTGGCTCAGTTGGTTAAGCGTCCAACTCTTGGTTTTGGCTCAGGTCATTATTTCATGGCTTCATGAGTTCAAGCCCCAAGTCGGGCTCTGTGCTGTGTGTAGCCAGCTTAGGATTCTCTCTCTGCCCTTCCCCTGTTCTTGTTCTTTCTCTCCAAAAAAAAAAAAAAAAAAAAAAAGTTGTATCAACCTTAAGGTTGGATATTTAACTTCTGCCTATATATGACACTGTATAGGTATGATCAACTAAGGCTTCACTCCCATTTGTCCCACACTACCATTGTTCTTACTTTGGAACTGTGAGGATGTCACTAACTCTTCTGGAAAGATAATAGTAGTAGCTGGATTTGAAATTCTCAGTTACCCAAAGGAAAATAAAAAGTGTATATGTTGACAATTATTGCTACTTTCGTAGCAATAAAGATTCATCTGTTCTTGTTTGTTCTACCCTTCTTTTTGTTGTTTTACTTTTACCCCACATGGGATTCAATCCCACAGGATTATGATCTGGGCTGAAATCAACAGTTGGATGATCAACCTCCTGAGCCCCCTAGGTGCACAAAACAAAACAAAACTTCATGTGCTTCAACTTGTGACAAATAATGAGAATAGTGGGGGGAGGGAGATGGGAGACATGAAAGGGAGGCACTAGCCTTGGTCTACAGCTATTGCCTAACAAAAGTTGAAACTAAAAGGTAAGCTACTTTCCCCATAATGTTGGGGACTTCATTAGGGTTCCTTCCTTCCAAGATGTTAAAACAGTCTCTCGTATTGTCAGAATCAAATGCAGTCTTCATACTTCTCACCTTCACGTGATCATCAAAAACCTCTTGCCAGACTATGGATCCCTTCTTTACAGTTGAAACAATACCCAAAAGCCTACCATTGGGGAAAAAAAAAAATTTTTTTTCAGATCACAAGCTTAACAGTATATTTAAAGCATGCAGGGTTTCTATGAAGGACTACCATGTTGAGAGGTGCCTTGCACTATAGCACAGCTTTAAAGCAGAACCTGCTCAAGTTGGATCGTGACCCAATGTGGTTCCTGCTTTCCAGCACATGGCTGGGGACATCACACAGCAGAGGGGTTTAAAAGTCATCTGCTGAATGAATGTGCTACATACATCTCCAGGTGGGGAAGACATGGCAATTCAAGGTAATATACAAACCACCGTCTCTGGTTATTTCTTGAGTATCTTAGAATAAACTATAAAATTGCTGGCAGCTAGTCCACAAATATTTCCTAGTCTCTAGGACAATTCCAGACATTGTGCAGGATTAGAAAATGAGAATGTTACTACACAAAAAGCAAAATAGGAAAAGGCTTGAATCTGGGCTTGTCTAATCTAAGAGTTGGCAAACTACAGCCTACGGCCTGTTTTTGTATGGCTCATGAGCTAAGGATGGTTTTTACACTTGTAAATATTGTTTTAAAACAAGAATACTATGCAACTGTGGGGCCCATGAAGCCTAAAATATTTACTACCTGCCCCTTTAAATTTTCTCCAGTGTAAGTATAAACAGCCACATGTGGCTGTGCTATCATACTGGACATAAGAGATCTAAAGTAGAAGAATGCTCCTGGAGTTAACCAAAGGGAATGAATTCCACAGGCTGCATGGTGATGAAGACTTCACAGGCAAAGCAGGACTTTGAACTGAATTCTTTGAACAGAAGACTGCTCAACATTATTTCATCATTTAATGCAAAAGTCTTAGTCATAATGTCAGTGATTTAAAGAAAGCAGTGCATACTGCTTCCTTCTTAATTTTTCACTTTGTCCAACAAGGTATAATAGATATAGATATAGATACCTATATATATAATATCTATATTATTATATAGATCTTTGACAAGGGGTAATATCTATATATCTCTATATATAATATCTATACTTTCACAAGGGGTAGAGAGAAAATGAAAAAAGAGTACTAAATAGCTAAAACTTTTACAAAAATCACAGATGAAATAAAAATAGAGGAGGCTTATAAGTAACTTACTTTTGAAGGTAGAAAGATTCTAGTCTTCTAAAATCTTTGCCAAAACCTTTCTGCTTCATGAAACCCTGGATTTCTGGATTAGACTCCCTTTAACAAAAAACAGTGATTAAAACTACATTAAACGTTTGATAAATCTATTTAAAGCAGCACAGATCTCTATTAAAGTTTGTAGACAGAAAATAAGCCTAAAAACTTTATTATGAGTTACCCAGGTTTTTCATTACAAATAATTTTTTCCAGAAGCTGGTTACTTGTGAAAATAGCTTTCCCCACCTCTCTCCTCCAACTAAGGCTATTTGCAGAGGAGTTTTGTTTAAATGTTTTATTTAATTTTGAGTGTGTGTGTGAGCAGGGGAGGGGCAGAGAGAGAGAATCCCAAGCAGGCTCCATGCTGTCAGCGCAGAGCTCATGACCTGAGCCAAAACCAAGTCAGATACTCAACTGACTGAGCCACGCAGGCACCCCGCAAAGGATTTTTATTTGAGAAAAATCTCCCCCACCTAATCACTGCCTTTTCACTAAAGCTGTTCTTGTTCACTGTAGTCTGTTTCCAGTCCCCACGGTCTTTCACGTCTTGATTCTCCTTCCTAAAAGCTTTTATTCTCAAGTTATGTTGCTAACTTAAAACCTAGCAAGCAGAGATCTTTCCCAAATCTTCCTTTTTCACGTGGAAACTTCTAATAACTACTTCGAATGCAACGGTTAAAAAAGTAAGGCTTTTAAAGAATTGTCATACCAACATTTAAATTCCACTTCATCTCCTCCCAAGTGAACGAAGTGATCTGGAAACACCATACTAACTTCCTTGAAAAACTGAGACAGGAAGTTATAAGTTGAATTCAGAATAGGGTTTATAGGTCCAAAGGTCCCAGACTGCTTATGTTCATTGTAACATGGAGTCAGGAGGTCTTTCTGACCTGGAAGAAGAAGTATTTTAATCACAAAGACATCACTTTGCATGTGATTATACTACTCTATTTTGTTGAACCTGTAAGAGAATTTATACAGAAAAAGATAACCTTATGAGCAATTGTTTCTTGAATCCTGTCCTCTGTACCTCTGTTTCCCTTTCCTCACCCTATTTTATCCATTTCAGGTATCTCGTTTATTTGGAACTAACAAATCTTGACCTCACCCAAGCCCTTTTTCCTAAGTTTCAATCCATATTTCAGATTCCCTGCTCCACACAATTAGATATCCCAGCTGCACTTCAAATACCATCTAACAAAAGTGAGATTCTCTGTTCTGTAAGCTCCTTCAGTAGCTGCTCCTGATTACTGTGTCCTGGTAAGCGTTTGCCATCTTCCTCCTCTTTAAGTTCTCCTTCTTCTCTCAGAGTTGATCAGTTGCCAAATTCTAGGGATGTCTCTCAGTTCTGTACATTATTTTCCATTCCCATTAACACCATTCTGGTCTAGGACTTCCATCTCCTTCCCCTTCCAGTCGACCACTTCCTCACACAGGTTTTCCTGAAGTGTGGTTCCCATGAGTCCTGATGGAGCCCACATTCCTCACCCAAGGCCCTCCACACTGTACTTCACCAGACTGATTTCTCAATATTCTCCATATCTACCCTACTAGTACTGAACAATTATAAATGCCAGGTGCTGTGTTACATGTTATTTAACCCTCAAAAAATTATATGATAGTTACTACATTTTAGAGATGGGGAAACTGAGGATGAGACATTCTACAACTTGATCAAGGTCACTCAGTTTATAAAAGGCAGAAATAGGATTCAAACCCAGACAGTGTGGCTCAAGACTCCGTTCTTAACCACCCTATAATGCTTCCTACTCTTTGCTGCACTACACTCCAACTAATGCCCTTCCTCATGTTATTCCCTTTACCAGAAACATGAATATATTCTTTGATCTCTCAAAAGCATTTTTAGTGTTATCCAGGAAACTATTTCTTACATTCACTTAGCATGTTCTACTTGTAATTTTTCCTTTAGACATTTTTCTTTCCATACTTTAGGCAGTGACTTGCTCACAACAGACACATAATAACTGAATTCCATCTGTCAATAGTGCTACCCTTGTGCAAACCACAAGGTATTAAGAACAAAATGAACAGGGATACCTGGGTGGCTCAGTTAAGTGTCCAACTCTTGATTTCAGCTCATGTCATGATCTTATGGTTTGTGAGTTCGAGCCTCAAGTCAGGCTCTGTGCTGATAGCATGGAGCCTGCTTGGGATTTTCTTCCTCTCTCTCTGCCCGTCCCCCACGTGCACTCTCTCAAAAATATCAACATTAAAAAAAAAAATGCAGGAAGGACCTCAGGTATTCACTCTTTGCAACTTAAAAATGACACTCCTTACCTTTTCCCCAAGACTGTGTATGTCCAGGGCTATCAAATTCTGGTATGACTCGAATCCCTCGTAATCTGGCATATTCAATCACCGTATGGACATCATTTGGTGTATAAACATGAGACAGAGAATAGCTGCCCTGTAAAGCCGTATTTATTAAAATGTATGAAATGGGTTTGTCCAGGATACTGTTAACAGTTCTGTTTGCATAGTGATAGGTGATTTTTCTTGTGTAACAATGTATTAAACAGTCCAGTGTGGTGGTGGAGGACTCATTTTTTTTTCTTTAATCCCCACTTTTATTCATTCATTCATTCATTCACAAGGAAGCTCTACGCCCAGTGTGGGGCTTGAACTCACTACCCCAAGATCAAGAGCTGCATGGTCTACCGACTGAGCCAGCCATTTAAATTATTTACCGTATCTTATCAGCTCTCAGCACACTGTGGGTTAATTCCAGATTTACTAATAGAACTATCTCTTCTAGTTCCTCTTGGTTCAGGAACATCTATCCTCATGCTATTTCAACCTCATGTAACCATACAACAAAATACAAATAAAATGTTTGACTCCAAAGTCAAACTTGTGAAAATGGAAAATACACTCCCCTTGTCAGTTTTAGAATAAAAATTCACACACTATTACAAAGTTGAGGTGTTGCCTTTCGAAGTCATTTTAATTACTATCAGCTTTAAAAATTCCCCCAGACATATTCTGATAAGTGACTTGATTTTTTTTTTTTTTTTAAGATTACCCTCAATCCCTTTATAGGTTACACTTAGGTTGTAACTAAAAGTTGATTAAAGGTGTTAGCGTAAAGCACATTTCTCAAGGCATAAATATGTAAATATTACATATAAATTATAAGCTATATCTAAATTTATACATAAATGTAAATGCTCAACTCCTCAAAAGTAATCCTGTCTCACCCCCCCAAATTTGTATCTAATCAAGATCAGATCTAACTACTCATAGTAAATACAGGACAGGAGAATAATTGACAATATGAGAATGCAATCAGCAAAACCCAGACTCTGGGAACTAGACAAATGATTTAACAAAAATGGCAAATTACAAAAAAAAATAGATGGGCAGGGTAGATACCTAGAACACCAAGACAGTGGACACACTAACTGACCACAATGTATAGAACTCATTTGCATGCCATTACAAGTTAAGATTTTGTTCATTAAAACAAGGTAAAACACTTGGGGAAATATAAATAATGACTGATTAGCTGGATTACTGTTAACTTTTCAGCTGCAATAGTATATTATGGGTTTGTTGTTATTGTTTTTAAAGAAAGACCTTTTTACAAATGTGATGTGGTGTCTGGGATTTTCTTTAAAATATGGTAGGAAGGGAGGGTGAGTGTAAGTGATACAAGATTGGCCAAGTTCTGATTACTGAAGTTGGGTGACAAAGACATGGAAATCTCTGTCTTCTATGTTTACTTCTGTGTATGTGTGAAATTTTCTGTAATAAAAAGTAAAACAAAAGCAAACAAAAACGTGAGTGCCAGTAACATTTCAACCTATACTACATCAAACATTGGAGAGAGCTTGGGTACTGTGGATAGAGGACATTTAGAGTCCTGGTTTTGTCCCTTCCTAATTGCGACTACAGATAAGGATGTCAGTCTCTCTGCATTACAGGGAGATTAAACAAGATGACACAGGCTTGCTCCCACCTCCACTGATTTATAATACAATTTGAACACTTCTGAGACAGCGATTATTTGCTAAGAAGCTCTCATCTCTAAAATTCTCGATGTAGTTTTTCAGAAAGAAAAAAATCATTTACAGCATCCGGTAACAACTCCACATTAGGTGATAAAAATACTTAACCTTCTATTAGTTATGAATGCTTCAGGTCTCCTATATTCATTTAAGTTTTTAAAATTTTATTTATATAACTACTAGACATCACTTATTTACAGTAACTTAACCATTATAAAAAGTTTTATGGATCTAAATTGCTAAGCCACAGCCTATTAAAGAAGTTTTTAAACCACAAACATGTAACTTTTATATTTTAATTCCATCCATAAGAAAAAACATTTAACCTCAAAAGTTCTAATGAAATCATACAAACATTTTTGAAGACAGACTACAATAACATGAATTACTCACTTTGTTGCTTAACTCAGGAAAAGTGACACTCTGATAAGGGAAAGACTGGTCATCAACTATGTGCCAGTGGAGAACATTAAATTTATTAAAAGCCATGGCATCCTGCAAGCAAACATGTTAAAAAAATTAACATACCACAGATATAATACGCACACAACCCAACTTACTTATCTACATTCATTATTGTCTCCAATGCGTCTACTTTGTTTTAGGGGCGCCTGAGTGGCTCAGTCGGTTAAGTGTCCGACTTCAGCTCAGGTCATGATCTCATGGTTTTTGAGTTTGAGCCCTGCACTGGGGTCTCTGCTGTCGGTGTAGAGCCTGCTTCAGATCCTGTCCCCTTCTCTCTGCCCTCCCCTCACTTGCTCGCTCTCTCTCAAAAATAAATAAGCCATCAAAAAAAATTCTTTTTCAGGAGCGCCTGGGTGGCTCAGTTGGTTAGGCATCCAACTCTTGGTTTCCGCTCAGGTCATGATCTCACAGTTCGTGAGTTCAAGTCTTGTGTGGGGCTCTGCGCTGACAGCAAAGAGTCTGCTTGGGATTCTCTCTCCCTACTCTTCCTGCACGCTGCATCTCAAAAATAAGTAAATAAAAATTTAAAAATAAGTTACTTTTTCAGCAAAGCAAGAACGAGAAAGAAGTATAAATTATATGGTATGTCACTTTTATTTTTTTTAATGTTTACTTATTTTTGAGACAGGGAGGGACAGAGCATGAACGGGGGAGGGTCAGAGAGAGAGGGAGACACAGAATCCAAAACAGGCTCCAGGCTCTGAGCTGTCAGCACAGAGCCCGACGCAGGGCTCGAACTCACAGACTGTGAGATCATGACCTGAGCCGAAGTCGGACGCTTAACTGACTGAGCCACCCAGGCGCCCCTGGTGTGTCACTTTTTAAAAAGCCTATTCAGCATCTGTATTTATTCTAAACAGGGAGCTCTAACTTTGTTCTAGGAAAAGGTAGTCATCTTGTGAATTTAGGCATTGGCCTAGAACAGAAAATGTTCATTTTTGGGAACAGAGCAGGGCGAAAAATGGAGTATTTAAGTATCAGGACTTACAATTCCCACAGAAAAAGTAATTTACAGAATTCATCACAATTCTGACTTTTTTTTTTTTTTAATTTTTTTTTCAACATTTATTTATTTTTTGGGACAGAGAGAGACAGAGCATGAACGGGTGAGGAGCAGAGAGAGAGGGAGACACAGAATCAGAAACAGGCTCCAGGCTCTGAGCCATCAGCCCAGAGCCCGACGCGGGGCTCCAACTCACGGACCGTGAGATCGTGACCTGGCTGAAGTCGGACACTCAACTGACTGCGCCACCCAGGCGCCCCACAATTCTGACATTTGAGTGCTATCCCTTCTTTAGCAATCAAAGAAACTTGGTATAAAAATGCAAAATTCTCAGGAATTTTTTGGGGAAATTGCTATCAATTTTATTGATGTTCTAGAGGAATAAACAATGTATTATTTATATAAAATATAAACAGACTATTGAAAAAAGATAAAAATAGTAAAAGGGTAGATTTGTTTGCCCTACCAGCTTAATTAAAACTTAAAGCCTCTTTTCTCCATCAAGACTGAAAGGATTTGCTGATGCATATGGGAAATAGCTTACCTACAGGCAATTAGGCGAAAGAGTAAAAGTTTTCTAGTGCATAATGGCAAGATTTTTACCATCAGAGGAAGGAGTGCCTCAGTAAAGACCAGGGGCTTGCAAACTTTTTTCATGAAGGGCCAGACAGTAAGTACCTTGGTTTTATGAGCCACATGTTTCTGTCACAACTGATCCTGCAGCTGTAGAGCAAGATAAAATGTAAACAAATGGATGTGGCTGTGTTCCAGTAAAACTTCATTAGCAGAAACGAATACAAACTGGATTTGGCCCTTGGGCTCTAGTTTGCCAGCCCCTGATATAGATAAGAAATAGAATCAGATAAAAATGTAGAGGTCAGGTAGAAGATACAGTAGGAAGATCCCAAGTTTACCTTGTCCCATTGACATAACAAGATATCTTAACAGTTATATATGGACAACTAATACTAAAGACTGGCAGAACAGACCTTCCACAGTTAATCAAAGGGTGAAGGCCACACTGAAACAGAGGAATGGAGATATGGTTGGGAACCAAAACCCTGGTGAGACTAACCACAAGTAAGAGGGACATCAGATGCACAGAGACACGAGCCCCCACACCAGACACCCAAGATACTGGGGACTTGCACTGAGAAGATCTGTCTCCATGACATCTGGCTTTGAAAACCAGTGGGACTTTTAAAATCAGTGCACTTACCTCCAAGAGCCAGAGGGCAACAGGAAACAAAGTCTCTGCCCTTAAACAGCAAACATAATAAATAACCACCCACACAGCACAGAAGCAGCAGTTCGTAAAATGCCTGGGGTATGGTAAAGGACATTTATTTACTAATCTCAGAACATGCACCGGAAGAGCAGGGATCTTGAGGAGACATTCTCTAAGATTCAAAGTGGTGGCAGGCACCAGTCACTTCTCTTCTCCCCACACCTAGATAGCTAACACCAAACACCTCACCTGCTTTGCTAACACCACGGGCCCCGCCTCATTCAAAGTGCCTCCTGCCCCGTGGAGTGGAGTAGAATAACCCCATATACCAACATGCCTGCAGTTCCAGCAGCTGAGCCTTTTAGCGGGCTTCTCAAGAACAAGTCCTGCTGGGAGGTGCTCCCACAACTGCAGCAGAGGGGCTAAGTCCAGACTAGTTTGCTGCCTGCCCCCCACCCCCTCTGAGCCCACAGTGGACGCAGGTCCTTCAACAGTGCAGGGACCAAACCCTGCGTGCTGTACTCAAAGCAGGCAACATGGGTCATTAGAGTCAAATGGGCTAAAGGCAAACACAGCTCAACCGCAACAAGGCACATGCAACCTACACAGGAGACATCCCTGGAACACCAGATTCTAGTGACCAGGAACACTGCTACAGGGCACCAAAACACCTCTTCTACATAAGGTCACTACTTCCAAGACCAGGAGACACAGCAGACCTCCATAATTCATAAAAACAGAGAGACAAGATGAGAAGACAGAACAGGTCCCAAATGAAAAGGACAAAAATCCTAGCAACAGAGTTCAATGAAACAAAAGCAATACACCTGATACAGAATTGGAAGTAATGGTCTTACCTGAAACTAATATTCCACTATACATTAACTTCCTGGAATTTAAATAAACAAACAAAACAAAGTAATGGTCATAAAGATACTCAGACTTGAGAAAAGAGTGGATAAACTCAGAATGTCAACAAAGAGATAGAAAATAATGAAAGAACAGATAAAGAATTTAGTAACTGAAATTAAAAAAAAAACTAGAAGAAACAGGTTAGAGGATGCAAAAGAACACATCAGTAATCTACAAGACACAGTAATGGAAAGCAACCAAGATCATCAGCAGAAAGAAAAAAATTCTAATATAAAATGAGAACAGCTTAAGGGGACCCAGATGACATCACATGTAATAACATTTGAATTAGAGGAATCCCAGGAGAAGAGAGAACGGAGTAAAAACTTATCTGAAGAAATAACAGCTGAAAACTTAATCTGGGGGAGTAAACAGACACCCATATTCAGGAAGCACAGAAAGTTCCTACCAAGATTAACCCAAGTAGGTCCAGATCAAGACATGTAATAATTGAAGCAGCAAACATAATGATAGCGAATTTTAAAGCTACAGAGAAAACAGTAACATACAAGGCAAACCCTATAAGGCTGTTAGCTGATTTTTCAGCAGAAACTTTGCAGGCCAGAAGGGAGTGACCTGATATATTCCAAGTGCTGGGAGGAAAAAACCTGGAAACAAGAACATTCTACCCAGCAAGGTTCTCATTCAGAAAAATAGTTTCTAAGGCGAACAAAAGTTAAAGGAGCTCACTACCATTAAACTGGCCTTAAAAGAAATGTTAAAGGGACTATTTTAAGTAGAAAGGCAAGGCTGTAAACAGAAGATAATTATGAAAGGAAAAAGTTTCACAGGTAAAAGCAAACATATAATAAAGGTAGATTAGTCATTTATAAAGCCAGTATGGGGGCACCTGGATGGTTCAGTCGGTTGGGCGGCCGACTTCAGCTCAGGTCATGATCTCGCGGTCCGTGAGTTCAAGCCCCGCATCGGGCTCTGTGCAGACACTCAGAGCCTGGAGACTGTTTCGGATTCTGTGTCTCCCTCTCTCTCTGACCCTCCCCCATTCATGCTCTGTCTCTGTCTCAAAAATAAATAAACGTTTAAAAAAAAAAAATTAAAAAAAAAAACCCATATGGATGTTAAAATACAACAGATGTAAAATCCTATCTATAAAAATCAGTGAAAGGATATACACACGCAGAAGATGTAAAATATGACATCGTATACATAAAATACAGAGGAGCGGGTTAAACTTTAGTGCTTTTAGAATGTTTGAACTTAAGCAACCATCAACACAGAAAAGAAAAATAAAGAGAAAGGAGTCCAAGCCTGACACTAAAGAAAGGCATCAAACCACAAAGAGTGCAAAAGAAGAAAGGAACAGAGAAAAACAAAAATAACCAGGAAAGAATAAACTGGCAATAAATACATATCTATAATTACTTTAAATGTAAATTGACTAAATGCTCCAGTCAAAAGACAAAGGATGACTAAATGGAAAAAAATACAAAAAAAACCCCCAAAAAACAAACCTAAAACAAGACCCACCTATATCCTGTCTACAAGAGACTCACTTCACACCTAAAAAAACACACAGACTGAAAATGAAGGGCTGGAAAAACATACCATACAACATACCATAAAAATCTAAATGGGAGACCTGAAGCCATAAAACTGTTAGAAAAAGGGCACCTGGGTGGCTCAGTTGGTTAAGCATCCAACTTCAGCTCAGGTCATGATCTCACGGCTCGAGAGTTCGAGCCCCACGTAGGGCTCTGTGCTGACAGCTCAGAGCCTGGAGCCTGCTTCAGATTCTGTGCCTCCCTCTCTCTCTCTGCCCCTGCCCCACTCACAGTCTCTCAAAAATAAACATTTAAAAAAATGAAAGAAACTGTTAGAAGAAAACTTAGGCAGTAATCTCTTTGTGACCTGCCTTAGCAACATTTTAATGGATAGTTCTCCTTGGGCAAGGGCAACAAAAACAAAATAAAACTTTTGCACAGTGAAGGAAACTGTCCACAAAACAAAAAGGCAACCTACTGAATGGTAGAAGACATTTGCAAATAATATACCCCAGGAGGGGTTCATATCCAAAATATATAACAACTTATACAAGACCAAAAACCCCAATATAATCCAATTAAAAACAAGCAAAGGCACTGAATATTTTTCCAAAGAAGATATACAGACAAAAAAAAAAAAAAAAAAAAAGAAGAAGATATACAGACAGCCAACAGACACATTAAAATGTGCTCAACATCACTCATCATCAGAGAAATGCAAGTCAAAACCACAATGAGTTATCTCTCTACACTTGTCACAATGGCTAAAGTAAAACAAGAAATAGTAAGTGTTGGAAATGGAGAATGTGAAAAAAACCCTTGTGCACTGTCACTGGTAATGTAAACTGGTACAGTCACTGTGGAGTATGGAGGTTCCTTGAAAAAATTAAAAGTAGATTTACTATATGATCCAGTAATTCCACTAAAGGCTATTTAACCAAAGAAAACAAAAACACTAATTTGAAAATATATATGTGCCCCTATGTTTACTCCAGCATTATTTACAATAGCCAAGCTGTGGAAGGAACCAAGTGTCCACTGATAGATGAGTGGATAAAGAAAACGTGGTGTGTCTGTGGGTCTGTGTGTATATGCACATACATACATGCAATGGAGTATCAGACACAAAAAAAGAATGACATTTTCAGTTTATTTTTTGTGTATGGTGTAAGACAGTGATCCGATTTCATTTTTTTCATGTAGCTGTCCAGCTGTCCCAGCACCATTTGAAGACTGTCTCTTCCCCATTGTACATTCTTGCCTTCTGCCTTCTTTGTTATAGATTAACTGACCTATTTCTGGGCTCTCTTCTGTTCCTTGGATTTGTGTGTCTGTTTTTGTGCCATTACCATACTGTTGTGATCATGGCAGCTTTGTTATTATATCTTGAAATCTGGGATTTTTATATTCTCAGCTTTATTCTTTTTAAAGATTGTTTTGGCTTTTCAGGGTCTTTTGTGGTCCCACACAAATTATAGGATTATTCATTATAGTTCTGTGAAAAATGCTTTGGGTAATTTTGATAGGGATTGAAATCAATCTGTCAATTGCTTTGGGTAGTAAGGACATTTTAATTATATTAATTCCTACAGTCCATGAGAATGAAGTATCTTTCCATTTGTTTGCATTGTCTTCAGTTTCTTTCATCAACATTTTATGGTTTTCAGAATACAGGTCTTTCACCTCCTTGTTTAAGTTTACTTCTAGGTATTTTATTCTTTTTGATGCTACTGTAAGAGGACTGTTGTCTTCCCTTTCTGCTATTTCATTATTAGTGTATAGAAATGCAATGGATTTCTAAATGTTAATTTTCTATACTACAACTTTACTGAATTTATTGCTTTTTGGTGGAGCCTTTAGAGTTTTCTATATATAGTAGAATGTCATCTGCAAATTGTGGCAGTTTTACTTCCTTACTGATTTGGATGCCTTTTATTTCTTCTTGTCCAAGTGCTGGAGCTGGAACTTCCTGTACTATGTTGAATGGAAGTGGTGAGAGTGGACACCCTGTCTTGTTCCTGATCTTAGAGGAAAATCCTGACAAGTGTGCAAATTTAAGAATGCTTATTCTACAGTACTGTTTATGGTAAATTAACCTGGATGTTCGTCAGCATGAGAATGGTTAAACTCACATCATGGTATAAAAAACGGAATATTCAACGGTTTAAAAAGACGGTACAGACCTTATATATTCTTTCATAAAAAGATGTCCATAACATGTTTTTTAAGGTAGGAGAAGTGCAATTCCAGTTAAGTTTTTTAAAAAGTCATGTCACAGCTCGGAGCCTGGAGCCTGCTTCAAATTCTTTGTCTCCCCCTCTCTCTCTCTGCCCCTCCCCTGCTTACTCTCTTTCTCTCAAAAATAGATAAACATTAAGAAAAAAAAACTTTAGGGGTGCCTGGGTGGCGCAGTCGGTTGAGCGTCCGACTTCAGCCAGGTCACGATCTCGCGGTCCATGAGTTCGAGCCCCGCATCAGGCTCTGGGCTGATGGCTCAGAGCCTGGAGCCTGTTTCCGATTCTGTGTCTCCATCTCTCTCTGCCCCTCCCCCGTTCATGCTCTGTCTCTGTCCCAAAAATAAATAAAACGTTGAAAAAAAAAAAATTAAAAAAAAAAAAAAAAAAGAAAAAAAAACTTTAAAAAAGGGGCGCCTGGGTGGCTCAGTCAGTTGAGCGTCCGACTTTGGCTCAGGTCATGATCTCACAATCTGTGAGTTTGAGCCCCTCATCGGGCTCTGTGCTGACGGCTCAGAGCCTGGAGCCTGCTTCCGATTCTGTGTCTCCCTCTCTCTCTGCCCCTTCCCCGCTCATGCTCTGTCTCTCTCTGTCTCAAAAATAAATAAAAAAACATTAAGAAAAAAAAAAATTTTTTTTTAATTAAAAAAAGTCATGTCATGTGTATTAATATTCATTTTTAAGGGCAAGATGAGATAAATGGGGCACAGAAATTTATGTCAACCTTTGGTAATGCAATTATGGGGTTACTATCTATTTTATGCATATTTATGTTTGAATTTTTTATACTAAGCATTTATTTCTTTCATAAGAGTGACAATAATGCCTTTTGGAGAATAAAATTCAGGACAGTAGTGTGAATGTAAAAATCCCTTTTTAATAATATGGTGTTTTCAGAAGTGATCAAATAAAGGTATAGAAAAACATGGGAGGAAAACCTTCCTACCCTTACAAATTGATGATCGTGCGGATGAACCAATAAAAAGTAGACAGGAGAAAATAGCTACCGTCAACCTCACCCCCAACTCTCACCATCTGAAGTCCGTATTTCTTTGGAACATTTCCCTGGCAGCTTCTAGCCAACTTTCTATGACACTTTAAATAAAGTTCAGTGGAGGACACTGGCTTTCTCAGCTGAGGAAATATACTTTCCAGGGGAGGGAAGGAAGAAAGCTCAGTGCTTCAGTATATGACAAACCATCCCCCTGTTTCAACCTACACAACAGCGTAAATAACCCATATTAAGGAACACCATAAAAGCACACATCTTTGGAATAGAAAATGGATTAAAAATAATAATAATCACCTACCAGAGTTTTGAGAATGCTCTTAACTGGCAGAAAGTGTCTGGCTGTATCAATTAAAATTCCTCTATGTGGAAACCTTGGAGAGTCAATAATGTCGGATTCATTGACGGTGAACTATAAAACAAAATAAAATTTTGATTTATTTTTAGAATATTCTCTGGACTTGAGCTCAGCAAAGACCGTATCTATGCAAGCACTGGATGAAAGATTAGAAGAAAGTGTCAAGTTTACATTTACCAAAAAAGATAAACATTTGGAGAGAAAAAAACACTCAAGAAGCAATAAACAGCTAAAAACTTTACATTTTTCTTATAGTAAAAGGGATAGCCAATAATTTTTAGTAACATATAATAATCATACTTACAGTCCCATAAGAATCTTGATAAATTAACTGGCTAAAGGTCTCTAAACCTAGGGAGAGTAAAATTCATAATTTAATACATTACTTTTATAACATATTAAGTCAGTAAAAGTTGTATTATCCAAACGTAGACCCATAACCAGATAAGGCAAATAAAACTAACTATAATGTTACCTCTATACCTCTAACATATTTTCTAAGATCAAAGCTCAGTTTTAAAAAAATCTCTGTTGCCATCTAATTAAAATGTTTTACTTCATTGTACCCATACCCTGGGTTTTGTTGGAATGATAAACTTAAAAATGAATAGTGACTTAATACAACAAAATACTAGTTACTTAATATAGTATTCTAAAAAATAATTTCTATGCTAAAATATAGTCACTTTAAAAGATAATACACTTGAGGTGCCTGGGTGGCTCAGTCAGTTAAACATTCGACTTCCACTCAGGTCATGATCTTGTGGATTTCATGGGTCAAACCCCACATTGTGCTCTCTGCTGTCAGGATAGAGCCCACTTCAGATCCTCTGTCTCCCTCTCTCTGCCCCTCCCCCATGCGTGCGCGCCCTCTCTCTCTCAGAAATAATAAATAAACCTTAAAAAGTATTAGAAGGTACATAAACAGAAGGGAAAAAGGATCAAAAGCACCATGAAAATATAAGTGAGAGCCCAACTTAAAACTCAACAATGTTTTACTCACAGCTACAAAGAATATCTCTTGAATATTTTTCACTCAAGTGGATTGTTTCCTTAGTAAACTCTATTACAGGCCATTTCCTCTAACTGCCCTTGACTTTACTATATATATTTTTTCTTTAAATATTTTGAAGCGATCTCTACATCAAACGTGGTGCTTTAACCCACAACCCTGAGATCAAGAGTTGCACACTCCTGGGGTGCCTGGGTGGCTCCATCGGTTAAGTGTCTGACTTCAGTTCAGGTCATGATCTCACAGTTCGGGGGTTTGAGCCCCGTGTCAGGCTGTGCTGACAGCTCAGGGCCTGGAGCCTGCTTTGGATTCTGTGTCTCCCTCTCTCTCTGTCCCTCCCCTACTCATGCTCTGTCTCTCTCTCTAAAATAAATATATTTTTAAAAATTTTTAAAAAAAAGTTGCATACTCCATTGACTGAGCCAGCCAGGTACCCCCAACTGTACCATAATTCATCATTCTAGCTGACAAGTATAAAGCCAGGGAAAATTTTAACCTAAGAATAGTTCAAAGTCAGAAACGAATCAGGAGATATAACTGACACTACAGAAATAAAAAGGCTAAGAGACTACTATGAACATTTATAAGCTAACAAATTAGACAACCTAAGTATTTTACTATCCATTTCTTCTAAGAAATGGATACATTCCTGGAAACATACATACTAAAAAAACTGAATCTTGGAATAGAAAAACTGAAAAGACCACTTACTAGTAAGGAGATTGAATCAATCCAAAACCTCTTGACAAACCAAAGTTCAGGACCAGGCTTCAGAAGTGAATTCTACCATTTAAAGAAGAATTAACACCAATTCTTCTCAAACTTTTCCAAAAAAAAAAAAAAACCCCAAAAAACAAAAACAAAACAAAACAAAAAAAAACAGAAGAGGAGACAACACTTCAAAACTCATTTTCCAGGGCCAGCATTACCCTGACACCAAAACCAGGTAAGGAAAAAAAATTACTGGCCAATATCCCTGATGAACATTAATACAAAAATCCTCAACAAAACAGTAGCAAACTGAATTCAGTAATACATAAAAAGAGCCATACACCATGATCAAATGGAATTAATTCCACAAGTGCAGGGATGGTTCAACACCTGCAAATCAATGTGATACACCATATTAACAAAATGAAGGACAAAGTCATAAGATCTTTAAAATTTTTTTAGTCTATTTTATTTTCTGAGAGAGCGAGCAGAGGAGGGGCAGAGAGACAGGGAGAGCAAGAATTCCAAGCAGGTTCCACACTATCAATGCAGAGCCTGATGCGGGGCTCGAACCCACCACGATACCATGACCTGAATCGAAATCAAGAGTCGGACACTCAAATGACTGAGCCACCCGGGTGCCCCTAAAATCATAAGATCTTAACAGATGCAGAAAAAGCATTTGACAAAATTCAGTATCCACTTACGACAAACACTCCAAACAGAGGGAACATACCTCAACATAATAAAGGCCATATATGGTAAGCCCACAGCTCACCTCAGTCTCAATGATAAAAAGAGCAGCAATAAGACAAGGATGCTCACTCTCACCACTTTTATTCAACTTAGTATTAGAAGACCTAGTCAGAGCATTTAAGCAAGAAAAGAAAAAAAATAAAAGGCATCCAAATCAGAAAGGAAGAAGTAAAATGGTCACTATTTGCAGGTGACATATATAGAAAACCTTACGATTCCACAAAGAAAGTGTTAGAATTAATCAATGAATTCAGTAAACTTAAATGATAATCAAAATACCAAAAAAAATCTGTTGTGTTTCTATATTACCAGAACTAGAAATTAAGAAAACAATCCTATTTACAATGGTATCAAAAAGAATAAAATACAAAGGAGTAGATTTTTAAAAATTTTTTTAATGTTTATTTATTTTTGAGAGAGAGCGCGTGCACACGCACGCATGAGTGGGGGAGCGGCAAAGAGAGAGGGAGACACAGAATCCAAAGCAAGCTCCAGGCTGTGAGCTGTCAGCACAGAGTCCGACATGGGGCCCGAACTCATGAACCATGAGATCATGACCTGAGCTGAAGTAGGACTCTCAACTGACTGAGCCACCCAGGCACCCCTATAGGAATAGGTTTAAGCAAGACCTCTACCCTGAAAACTCTAAGGCACAGATGAAAGAAACTGAAGACACAAATGAATGCTAAGATAGTCAATGCTCGTGGATTGGAAGAATACCATTAAAATATCCATACCACTCAAAGCAATGTACATATTCAATGCAATCCCTATCAAAATTCCAATAGCATTTTTCACACAAACACAATAAACAATCCTCAAATCTGTATGGCACCACAAAAGACCTCAAATCACCAAAGCAAGTTTGAGAAAGACAATGAAGCTGGAGGTATCACACTCCCTGATTTTAAATTATCTTACAAAGCTACTGTCATCAAAATAGTATAGTACTGACATACAATCAGATATACTAATCAACATAATGAAACAGAAAACCCAGAAATAAACCCATACATATATGGTCAATTAATTTACCACCACAACAAAAAAACAACAAGGAAAAGACAGTCTCTTCAATAAATGTTGGAAAAACTGCAGCCACGTGAAAAAGAGTTAACACTGGACCACTATCATAAACTATACACAAAAATTAGCTCAAAATTGATTACAGACTTGAATGTAAGACCTTCTTCCTAGAAGAAAACACAGGGTGGTAAGGTCCTTGACATAGGTCTTGGCAATGACTTTTTGTACTTGACACCAAAAGCAAAGGCAACAAAAGCAAAAATAGATAAATGGGACATTTACTAAAAGACTTCCACAAATGACTTGAAACAAAATGAGAAGGCAACCTACTCTTTGGCAGAAAATATTTGCAAACTGTACGTCTGATGAGGGGTTAATATCCAAAATATAGGAAGAATTCACATAACTCCACAGCAAAAAATACTCTGATTTTAAAATGGGCAGTGGTTGCCTGGGTGGCTCCACTGGTTGAGCGTCCGACTTCAGCTCAGGTCATGATCTCACGGTCCGTGAATTCGAGCCCCGCATCAGGCTCTGTGCTGACAGCTCAGGGCCTGGAGCCTGCTTCACATTCTGTGTCTCCCTCTCTCTCTATCCCTCCCCCGTTCATGCTCTGTCTCTCTCTGAATCAAAAATAAAAATAAACATTAAAAAAAAATTTTTAAATGGGCAGTGGATCTGAAAAGACGTTTCTTTCAAAGACGACATACAGATGGTCAATAGGTACATGAAAAGGAGCTTGCTCAACATCAATAATCATCAGGGAAATGCAAATTAAAACCACAAGATACCATCCCAAACCTGAAAGAAAAACTATTATCAAAAAGACAAAAAGTGTTGGTGAGGAAGCAGAGAAAAGGGAACCCCTGTGCACTAATGGTAGCAATGTAAGTTGGTGCAGCCACTGTGAAAAATGGTATGGAGGGCCCTCAAAAAATTAAAAATAGAGGGGCACCTGTGTGGCAGTTGGTTGAGCAACCAACTCTTGATTCCAGGTCAGGTCACAATCACAGGGTATTGGGATCGAGCCCTGCATCAGGCTCTGTGATGAGCCTGGAGCCTCTTAAGATTCTCTCTCATATTCTCTCATTCTCTCTCTCCCCCACTCCTCGCTTGTTCTCTCTCAAATTTAAAAAGACAAAAATTAAAAATAGAATTACATATGATCCGGTAATTGCACTTCTGGGTATTTATCTGAAGAAAATGAAAAAATAACTTGAAAAGATGTGAGTGCTGCCATTTTGACAACATGGATGGACTGTGAGGACATTCTGCTAAATAAAGTAAGTCAAAGACATATACCATATGATCTCATTTACATGTGGAATCTCAAAAAAAAAAAAAAAAGCTCATAGATACAAACAACAGATTGGTGGTTGCCAGAGGTGTGGAGTGGGAGTGGGCAAAATGAGTGAGGGGGTCAAAAGGTACAAACTTTCAGTTGTAAAATAAATAAATCCTGGGGATGTAATGAACAGTATACTGGCTTCATTTCATAGTACTGTGTTGCATATTTGAAAGTTGCTAAGACAGTACATCATTAAAGTTCTTCTCACAAGAAAAAAATGTTTTTAATTAATTTATTTGGGGGGGGCGGGGGGTGAGGGACAGAGAAAAGAGGCAGGGAGAGAATCCCAAGCAGGCTCTACCCTGTCAACATAGACCCTGATGCTGGGCTCAAACTCACAAATCGTGAGATCATGATCTGAGCCAAAATCAAGTCAGATGTTTAACCCAGACACCCCAAGAAAAAAAAAAATTGCAACTATGTATGGTGATGGATATTAGCTAGACTTATTGTGGTGAATGTTTTGCAGTATATACAAATACTGAATCATTATCTTGTGCACCTGGAGCTAATAATATTATGTCAATTATACCTCAAAAAAAACAAAGACAGGAAATAGAAAAGAAAAAAAGAATTCAAAGTCATTTTTGTTGTATCTTCTCCCTCCCTCCAAATACAAGCCCCAGCTGGGAAGAGTAACTTTGGAATTTTCTGTTAAGTGCAATACACTCAATACATTTACTATTTATAGAGCATTGCTTTGAGCATCTGACATTTAAGAGAAAAATCCGGTTTTTTCTTAATTTTTTTTTAAATTTTTTTATTTTATTTTTTATTTTATTTATTTTTTTTTAATTTTTTTTTCAACGTTTTTATTTATTTTTGGGACAGAGAGAGACAGAGCATGAATGGAGGAGGGGCAGAGAGAGAGGGAGACACAGAATCGGAAACAGGCTCCAGGCTCCGAGCCATCAGCCCAGAGCCTGACGCGGGGCTCGAACTCACGGACCGCGAGATCGTGACCTGGCTGAAGTCGGACGCTTAACCGACTGCGCCACCCAGGCGCCCCTTAAATTTTTAATGTTTATTTTTGAGAGAGAGAGGGAGACACAGAATCGGAAGCAGGCTCCAGGTTCCAAGTTGTTAGCACAGAGCCCGACACAGGACTCTAACCCATGAACTGTGAGATCATGACCTGAGCCTACGTCAGACACTCAACCGGGCCCTCCAGGCACCCTGAGAGAACATCAGTTCTTGAACTGGAACCTAATCACTGAACGTTCTCAGAAGTGCTTCATTTTGATGTGATTCATAGCAAGTAACAATAAGGCTTTGTTTTCCCTAACAAACTTCAGACAAAGGCAGACCAGACTAAAAAAGCTTAAAACCACATAACATTATATATAAATGATCTAGATGATAATGATTACAGTTACATTTGCAGTAAACACCTATAAATATTTTCATGTTCTATTTTGAAATAAGATTGAAATCATACTATTATTACATACAGCATCACAATGATTATTTTATTTCAGATAACATTCAACCTGAATCAAACCTAAGGCCACTTTTATTTTTAATTACTGTAAGTTTGGTTAGCTCACATTTAAAAAAAATTATTCTTTTTTAAAACCCTACTATTTGGAAGTCACTACAACAACATGTCAAATTAGAGGAGTAAAAGTAAAAGAAGCTTTTGCACAGTGCAAGTAAATGTTCCATTACCCTCACTTTGAAATTCCGACTCTGGCTGAAATTCAGAAAAAGCTTTTAAGGTTTCTCTCCGCCCACTGCCTCCCACCTCTGTAGGTATGTGTATCTTTCACACTGTCCCTATCAACTTGGCGATGTTTCTAACTCCACAGGGATTTAAAACTGGGGGGGGGGGGCGGGCAGGGGTGTGGGTAGGGCTCTCTCCCTTCTCCTACCCCTGTGGTGTGTGTGGCTGAAGGTTCCTCCCCACGGCTTCTCACAAGACTTTCAAGATCAAGTGATTCCTGGCCAAGAAACAAAAACAGAACCACCCCCTGTTCCCCAGTGAAAACTGGTAATAAGATCAGGGGCAACCCCAAGAAGAGACACTGGAGAAGAACCAAGCGGACTGTGTAAGGAACTGCACAGGAGACGGCACACGTTTATGCTGTGTCGAGGTCACTAGCATCTCACTTTACCAAGCTGAAAGTATCCCCACTACTTGGACTGACAGGAGAATAGGTCTTATCAGGTAGATTCTTTTTCTCTTTGCTCCGGTGCTTCTGCATGAGAAGGTTCCCTAATAAATCTGAAACCTTTTGTTTGTAAATAAAGAAATTTTTTAAGTGGAAGGAGAGAGAGACTTGCTACCAAAGGCAACAAGAAAGGAATAATGAAACAAAGTGAAACAAAATGCCCAACTCAGCAGGTTGAGCCACTTCTAGCTCTGTCATCATTACAGTCCCCGGAGCATGAAAGACTTACACTCATGAATAATTATAATAACCCTCAGACATTTTTTAAAAGGTCAGGCGATCTTTCTTCTGTGCTCTAAGTGTACACGTTTGATGGAAATTATTTTGCAAACAACCGAGGAACCATCTGTAAAGGGTCTAAGGAAGCAAAATTTTGCTGTGCCCGATCTCCCAAAGCACCAAATGGAAATGTTTCTTCGACTAGGAAATAACTTACCTCGTAATACTCCCCAAACTCTGTTGGCCTTGAGGAAAGCCACTGGTTCTTTCACAAGTAAAGTATCTGCAGTGGAGGGTGGGGGGGGAAAGTTTCTGTTAATCCCTCAGTGACACACAGTGAATTTCCTAAACATGTAGTTAATATTTCTGGACCATTCTTTTCTCCCTAGCTCCAGGCCTGTTTCCTCCAACTGCCTCCCGTACATTCTTCACAGAGATACCCTGCGGATTCCTTGAACTCTGCATGCCCAAAGCTGAGCTCCCCCACTCTTTCCTGCTCCGTGCTGCCCCTGCCTGTCCCTAGTGCCTTCATCTCCGTGAGGCACCACAGTGCCCTCCTACCAGGTGAACTTTTCGAGTCAGAAATCTGGGTGACATCCCCACAATTCCTTATTTTCCCCTCCAGGAGAGTTATTCTCTCCACAGCCCCTCAACAGACTAGGTTCCTAATTCAGCTATGACTTTAAATCAAAAGTGCAAAACGTTCCTCAGTTCCTTAGTTCCTTGGGAAAGCCTCAAGTATCACTCCAATCTTCCACTCCACCAAAGGCCAGAGACTTACCTCCACTCTTTCTCTTCTCCTTCTGTGCTTCCCTACTTGCCTTGCATCCACCTTCCCAGCTATTAGCCTAAATATGCCTTAAAGTTCACTTCCTAAGTCACTTGAGCTAAATTCAGCTTTGTCCCAATCAACAAAAGGTTCACACCCAGGTAGGGCAGGTTCCAGTTGGATGCTTCTGGACAAAGCGGGGGGGG